TACACATACATATATACACACACACACACACACACACACACATACATACACACACACAGGTTTTTTTTCCCCTTGCTGTACCACTGTAACCTTAACATTTCACAACTGTGGTGCATTTCACGACATTAAATTGTCAGGTGAGCTTGTAAGAGCCTAGCTCCAGAAAGAATAATACTAGAGTTTTCATGTTCCTCCAGCTTCGCTAGCAGAGCATGCCAAGTCCTAGGGCCAGATTTTCAAAAGTATTTAGGCACCTAAAGATGCACATAGCCATGGAGTGGGATTTTTAAAAGTGCTTAGGAGCCTAATGCCCCACACTAGGAGTTGGGCTTTTCAAAAGTACTTTGGCACCTATTAGGTGCCTCTACGTGTCTAAATCTCTCTTAAAATCTGGCCCCTAGTGGTGGAGATACATAGTTGATTTTCAAAGCTTGCAAGTTTCATAGATGGAGCATCCAGTGTGCATTCAACTGTCCTGCAGAACACATGTATATAGGGTGCACTACTGGAGGACAAAAGGTATTTTGCTCTTACTGATTCAATATTGTTTAAACCGTCTTATGCAGAAAATTTCACCTTTGCCTTCTGAGTTGATAGATTTCCCCCTCCCCTCCCCCCAGGCCTGCGTAAGTGAGGAAGATCCACAAGCTTGATAAACCTTTTGCACCCAGCAATCAAAGGCGCTGCAAGAAATGAAGCCGTCCTTGGTCTGGATCTGTAGCAGAGGAAACGCTAGGATAATGAAATCCATTCCACTTCAGTTTTTTTACACAATGAATGTACATTGATGAATGGCCTCTAGGTTTGTTTTCAGTTTGTGAGTGTCCTGATGAACCGTTAGTCCATGGCCTGGCCTTGCTGACCCATGGAGGGGACAGGCTTGGCTGAGATGATCAAGTCCAACAGGAACCCTTCAGGATCTCTTGAGCATCAGAGTTGAACAGCTGGGAACTTCTTCCTTCCACCATGGATCGATAAAGAATAAAGTCCTGCCAATCCCAGTGGTTCTGGCTTCAACAGTTTTGTAGTTTACTTTTTTTTTAAATGGACAAAAAGCCCCCAACCCAATCTCATCCCTCCTTACCTCTGGGTGACAGGGAGGAGGCTATTAGCATTTACTGAGAATTCTCCACTCCCTTATAACCTAAGGATTTGTTCACGTGGGAAGTGTGGCCTGATTTCAGCCACCAGGGCAGCTATGTTGGTGAAAAAGTCCTAATTGTAGACAGGCAAAGCCCTGATTTGCTCCTGGTACAACTTAGCCCAATTTCAAGGCTGGGTGAGCCACACCAGTGCACACTGTAGCTTACAGCAACTTTGTCTGTGTACACTAAACTTACACTGCTGCTCCTGCTGTAGACAGAGGCTAAGGCCAAATTCTTGATGCATTAGAGACCTCTTGTACAGACCCACAAGGCAGTCAAATTTACTCCAGAAGTGGCCTGAGCCATGTGGGAATTTGTGGAGAAGAATTTTATTTTAAGGGGGTGGGGGGGGGGAAATAGAGGGGATACACATCACTGTAATTAAATTGCATTGTTGGCCACAGTAATTAAAAAAATACAATAACCACCTACTGGAAAAGGTTTTTTGTTTGTTTTTTTAAAGCATTTGCCCCTCCTAACCATGTAAGGATCAAGGCCTGAGAAGAAATCCTGCTGTGGAGCAATGTAGTCATCTACTACCGTGATCACCACCTGAGCCATCAACTTGTCTCACTAGAATGACCTGAGTGCAATTATATTGCTCATTATTTTAGATCAGTTCAGCAAGACAATCTGCTTTTTTGTACAAAGAGGAAACATGAGTTTTAAGAGTCTTTAAACACATGAAGCCTGAAGCCACATTTGGCATGAGGGAGAGTTCCTTGTTTCTATTTCACTGAATTAGAACGTTCCTTGTTAATGTCCAAGGAAGAAGATATGTAGAGTTAGGGTGGACCTTCTTCCCCTCCCACAAAGCAAGTATGCTGCAGGAATAGGAGGATGAATGCTAACAGGAAGTACAGTGAGTCTCTGCTAATCCCCACCTAGGGTGTGTCTACACTGCAGCTGGAAGCCAACTTCCCATGCCAGGTAGACAGACTTGGGTTGCAACACTAAACGTAGCAATGTGGATGTTGTGGCTCAGGGTCTTCAGCCCACCCAATGCCCTACATCTGAGATCGAGGGGCTAGGCTGAGTATCTGACAGAGCTGGAATGCCCACACTGCTATTTTTCACACTACAGCTTGAGCCCTAGTGGGGTGAGTCCCTCTGCCTGGGCCAGGAGGCTCCTTCCCAGCTGCAGTATAGACCGAACCTTAGCTATCCATTGGAATTTAAAGACTAGACTAGACTGAGTAGGTGCCACCTTTTAAGTCCATGGCAATAGTGTCCCTGGAATTAAGGATAGCCTGGAGGACCTTCCTCATCCCACTCCGTGCAAGATCAGGTTCTACGACAAAGGGAGGTGTTGTGCCCAGAGTGCTAAATGGGGCAGATGCTCCTGAAATAGTCCCTAGTAGCTTGTCCTGATCTTTATTTTACAACTTATAACCTCCTTTTCCCTCCATTGATTTCCATCATTAGCAAGGGCACAAAATCACTTCCAGTTTCTGGTGCACTAATTCCATTCATTGTATGCCCGTGCAATACTCTATCTTGCTAACATGGGAAACTACATTTCGTTCACGTCTGTTGCGTTATAGGAATGAAGAGCAATTGAAGGTTTCAAGCCTCTGGCTCCTTTTATAGTTAGGTTAATGGTGCCCTCTGCTGGCTAAAAGCATAATTTAACAGACTAAAATCCACACTAGTCTCTTGCATGGCATTGTAAAGGGACATATACTGGTGTGAACAATGTGTGAACCTGGGCAGCCTTTCACAGGTGAAAGAAATGGCCTACACTGGATTAACTTTACAAGAAGATTTCTTTCAGGATCTCAGTTGATATCCTAATTATATCCATCATCAACACTGTGATCCTCCTGCTAATAATACAATAAAGTGAGCCAAGTTCTGAATTGAAGCTGGTTCTTACTCTTGAACAGCCTTTTAAGTCAGTTTCGAGATTTAAAATATTCCTTTTCAGATTAATACAACTATTTAAACGAGGCACAACCCCCAGATTAGTTAGCAATGCATATTAGAGCCATTGTGGGTTAGTAATGGATGCAAACAGCCTTGTAAGTACAAAAATTCACTTCTATTCTATGGTAGTGCTGAAAATTATGAACACCCCACTCATCTCCACTGATTAGCTTCCACGGAAAGATTTTAGTAGTTCAAATATCAATTCCTCTTGCCTCTGCATATTATGTGGAATAATCTCCCCTGCCTCTGCAGGAGGTGGTGTGATGGAGCATGTCCTCCATCTGGGCTCTGGGAAGACTCCAGCCAGCTTAACTGGGGTCACCTAGATATAGCCAAGGCATGCAGTCCTGTTAGGTGTGTAGGCGCATGGAACCAGACAAAGGCTGTAAGCAACTGCATCTTCTCCCCAGTCAATCCTAAGTCTCAGCTGATATGCATAAAAGAAAGACAAAGGCTTGACTCAAGGGATACAAAAAAGAGTGTGGTCCTGCTTACATCTTAGAAGAGGCAGGATGTTTTGTTGGAGTCTGGTTCATGCCCCAAACAGGGGGAAGAGCTCTGTTTACTCTGAAAGGTAGCTAGGGACACCATTCCATTCCCCCACAACAATCTGGTACTGGAGGATATGGGCTAGCAGACTAAGTAACCCTACAATCTGATGCAGTAGGCAAGCCCTCGGATCCCAACCTTGATGGAATGTTGTACTAAAGCGTTTTTATAGGCCAGACTACACGAGAGACCAGTCTAAAAAGGTAACACAAGATGCTTTTATTCCAAAATGTGAAGTATAAATCTACAGACTTAGCAAATCATTTTTTCAAACCCATCAATAAGTTACTCTGCAGGCAAACTTTCCTTTATCTGCTCCAAGATCTAACAATTTCTTAAAAATAAAATCACAATTCCAGACAAGAATCATCAGATTTAAACTAAAAGAAGTTACCACTCATCCTGTAAATGGAAAAATTTAGGACTGAACTTTTCCATGGTCATCTTCCAGCAAAGGGATGGTTCCTATCAGGCATGGAAGAAGCTCTGCAGGACACTTCTGGGAGGTTGTTCAGTAACCCAGACTGCTAGTAATAGACTAGGAACATCATTTCTAGTGAGATATCCTCATGGAGCACCTTCTGTGTTGGAAAAGGGGCTGCCATCAGTGGAAGTCAGAGACTGGAGATTCTGCAAAGACAGAAGGAGTTTTCACAGTATTCAAGTTCTGTGAGGAACGCCTCATTTACACAATTTAACTTCTCTAGTCCTTTCCCTTCCTCCGTGCAGTTAATGAAGGACCTGTTTGTAATAGAACGTTGCTTCTTCAGTGGAGTCCTGAGCTTATTTAGGACATCACTGCTGCTAGATACGTCTCTAAGAGACAAGTTATATGACAAATCAAGGTCTGAACAAAGATTAGATTCTTTGTAGCTTTTCCTTCAATGTAGGATTTGTGCCAGAACACCGTTTCTAGCCAGCTTTCCAATCCCCAAACACAGCTACTCAGTGAAAACACGCAAGGCCTCAGATTGTTGAGGAAATCCAGTGCTCTTCTCACAAAAGCAGGGATTCCCATCCTTGTTAACAGTGATGAAGCAGGAGAATTTCCCCTTCCAAAAAAACAAAAGCCTTCCAAGTTTAGAGGAGACAGACACTCTCCTCCACCCCCTTTTGGAGCTCAGGTTCTCCTGCAAAATCAGAGGGCTACAGCTCAGTGGCAAGTCTTGAAGGAAGTGGTTGTTAGCTGGAGCACAAAGTAGATGTCTAAATTCAGACCATCTACCCTGTTAGAGAAAATAACTACATTGCTTTTACAAAGCACAAGCAAGACCCTTCCAATCCATCTGAACTATACACAAGGCGTTTGAACAAAATGTTTCTATAAAACCCCCCCAGTACCCCCCCACCCATGTTCCCCCTTACTCACCCCATGGTTCAGGACATGAAAGTCCTCACACTTCCCCTGATGACCGCTCTGCAGATGGGACATCGTCTCAGGCTGGGGGCACATTCCGCACACACCACCAAGTGGCCACAAGGAACGAAGACAATGGACACATCTTTGTCCATGCACACTTTGCACATCCTCTCCTCCTGCAACCGTCGCAGCTGCTCCTCCGTACTCAGTGGAGGCTCTGCTGAAAGAGACATACCGAAGTTTTATTACAGAGCAGTGTTACCTGAAATTTTTGAAAGGATCTTTCTGTTCCATAGTTCAAGAGCTGGATTTAGGGCCATAGTTTTCCCTCCTTGTTTTGTTCAAGATTGTGACCATGACAATGGCCAGGACAAACCCCTGCTATTCCAGTCCTGGGCCCCTCAGAGTTTGTCCACACGTGGTGGGTTTGAGATTTGAACAGTGGGGAAGAGAGGATACAGTTGGTGAACTGTGATGTATGGGGAATCCATGGTAACTCTTTTGGGTGTATTAATCTTGCCTAACACAATAGACCCTGAATGGGGCCTGGAGGTGCTACCACATTCTGAATAAGAGGAAATTATTTTGCAATTTAACTGTTACATGGGAGGTAATGAGCCTTGGTATTTCCTGCTGTAGAGATGGTTGTGGTCCAGCCCAGGCAGATTTTATTACCTCACCTGATTCTTTTGAGCACTCAGCCTGTGCGTCTCGTCTCTGTCCTGGCAAACCTGTCTCCCTCTCCGTACGCTCTATAGAAATCAGAAGGAATGAAGATGGCATTAATGCTCCCATGCTTAAAAAAATATATAAAAAAAACCAAGAAAAAACCACACACACACACACACACACACACACACAGAGTGGTGTCCTTCGCTGGTATTTCAGTGATGTCAGTTCAAGTGTGCTGTGTGGCTAAATGAAAATGGTTCTCTTTAGGAGGCGGCTAACCCTGCACGCTCAGCCTGGAATAGGACAGCAAAGCTGGGTTCTCGGATTCTCATAGCAATGCCAAGACTTGTTGATGAACTATAAATTAGATAATCCAACTCCGATGAGTCCCCCCCCCCCAAACAAGTGCACACAAAATTCTGATTGGGGGGGGGGGGGTTCTAAACAGAAAGATTTGTATTTTATAAAAAGGCTATTTTTGGTCAGAAAGATTGCAGCCAGCATTGTAGCACGTTAGAGATAGAAAGGAGTGATGTAGAGCAGCATTTGTTCTTTCCTATGTAGAACTGCAGTTATAGGGTGGAGGTACTAACCCTAGAAATCTTCCTTTAACAATTGCCTGTGTCCTCACAGTTTAAGCGATAAGTCATGCTATTAGCACTTTTCTACCCCCCCCCCTCAACTGCGCCTCGAATCAGACAGATGGAATGGCCCTCTTGAATCATCCAGTTTAAATAGCAGGCACAAAAGGAATCCATTTCTGGATTTGCTGCAACGTCAGCACTGGGTGTACGCCTAAATCTTAATGTAGTACCACAGCTTTTAAAGCAAGACGTAATAGAGAAATATTGAAAAGCAGCGAGACTCCAGGTTGCTGGGAGACTGCTAATGTAACAAATGTTCCAATAACTAGGCACTCTGCAGACCCTTCTACAACTGAACCACTTTCCTCAGTATCACAGGGCTAAGAAGCTAAAGAAGTATTATTACATTTCATTCTAGTCTAGGAAGAGACAGTGTAGACCCAAGAGATAGCGTCACTGAAGTGCTAAAACTTCAGCGACCATCAGAGGAGGTGGGATGTGATTAGATTGATCAGTGAGGTTTCAGAGGCTAAACGGCCGTACCTCTTTCTTCTGCACTGCTGCTCTCTTCCCCATCTACCTGAAGCAGATCCAAGACCAGTTCGGACACAGATAAGTAGCAGGTGCCAGTCAGCAGGTGTCTACTCTGGACCAAGCTCATCACCAAGCTGTGGTCAAAGCCCATCAGCAGGACATTCTGCACTATGGAAGACTGATCCAGAGGAGATGACAATTCCCGATTCCCCACAGAATCTGTAAAGCACAGGGAGGAGACACTTTACAAAAGAGGGGGAGCTTAACCGGCTACAAAGTAGCCAACTCCATACGTGGCAGGATATGGCCAGGGACTCTAATCGAACGGAGTTCTCTTTCTCAGTGTCGAATATTCTAACTATCCAACGGCCAATTTTGTATGATAGCGTTAGATAGGCAAGATGTAGTTCCACATTTCATGAGGCCATTTATGAACTTTAAACTAATCCCATAGGTCATGCCATATTCCATCATAGTAACAGATTTAAAACAAATATTGGTCTATGGCCATTAGAATGCTACACTCTGTATATCGAATACCTCATTCCTTCTCCCATCCAGTACTGCAGGACTCAAACGACCCTGGAATAAAGGGTGAAATCCTGACCCTGCTGAAGTCAATGGGAGAATTGCAGTTAACTTCAGTGAGGTCAGGATTTTACCCTAAGCATCTGAGGTGCTAAGAGGCAGAACTTTCACCCAAAGTTCCATTAAACAGAACTTAAAGAAAAAGCATAGAAGGGATATCAACCTGCATGCTTCACAACATGCACCAACGGACAGTGGTAAGGAACAAAAAGCAGTCCCGCCCCCCTCCCCGGATTGCCCAGTTCAAGTAGGTTCTTACAGCTTCTTCTAAAGCAGCTGGTATAGTTCAGTGTCAGAGAAAGAAAACTGCACTAGCGGCACCAGCTCTGGCAAGACAGTCGCTATGTTTCAGACAGTTATTCTTTTTGCACTACTCATGCCATTAAGTAAGAGCTCTGGTTTCACTGGCGTTTTTAAAAAAAAAAATTGCCCCTTTTAATCACAGTTTTCACGTCCCAAAACAGAGGACTCAGAACTAAAAGGCCGGGGGGAGGGGGAATGCAACCATAAATCTCTCCCCTCTGATCCAATCCGTCCCATTCAAGGAAAGGCCTTTCCATGAGAATCTGAAATAAAATACCTAAGTAAGTGATCCCATCCCAAAGTGTAGGCTCTTCAAAGGTCCTCCTTATAGGACAGGCAGATTAGATGGCTGAACACTTCTCCAACTCAGTGAGGGAACCTTCTATTAAGATATATGAAAACCAGACTGCAGCTACTTAACAGTTGGCTTCAGTTTCTCAGCTATATTCTACCCCAAAATACATGCAGACAATTGTGAATGAAGTTATGTCCCCAAGCTCCTTTTGTTCTCAGTTAACTAATTTGAACCCTAAAGCATTCCCTTAGACTTCAAACCCATTGACTACTCCTGGGGGGAATTCTGCGCCACTGCAGGTGTGAAGCATTCATGTCCTCCACAGATTTCTTTGTTTCCCTGCAGGAAAATGACTCTCACGGGGAAGCAAAGGAAAGCTGCAAGAGCAGTCACACTCCACTCCCTAGCAGTGCAGGTACATAGTTTCAGGCACCTGGAGCAGCCAGCAGAGAGGTAAATCACCACAGAGCTGGGGACATCCCAACCAGTGGCCCTGTTCCTGAGCCAGGATCAGCTGCTAGTCCCAGCTGGGCTGGAGGCAGGAGAAGATAGGATTTCCTCTTCCCTGCTAGGAGTTGTTGGGGCTGTGTCAGACCCACCCCCAGAAACCTCCCCCAGCTGCAGGAAGCTCAGCATCCTCCCCTGCTTCCTGTCCCCATTGCGGCTCAGCTGAGAGGGAAGGGGTCACTGTATGAGGAGCTGCTCCCCCATCCATCCAACCCCTGTGTATCCTCCCATACCCAGACACTGCTACCAAGCCTCACCTGGTACATACAGAACCCACTCGCCCTCCATACCCAAACCCCACCCCACTGAACCTCAACCCCTGCCTCCGGACCCCCACCCCTGCACCCAGACCCCATGCCTCTGGACCCCCACCCCTGCACCCAGACCATCCCCCACTGAGCTCCCTGCACTCAAACCCCCACCCTGATGCCCAACCCCCTGCACCACCCTGAGCCCCCACATCCAAACTCCCATGACACTGACCTCCAACTAGCTGCACCCAGATCCCCACCCCACCAAGCCCCACTCCCCCAGCACCCAGACCCCCCCCCCATGAGACCCCTCTGCTGAGCCCCAACAACCTTCACCTGGAAGCCCCTGCAGAGTCCCATTACCCCTGCACCTGGAATCCCCCCTCCCCAATGAGCCTTTGTGCATCCAGATACCCCCCACAACTAGAACCCCCACTGAGCTGCCTGCACCCAGATTTTCCCACACAGAACCCTCTTACCCCATACCTGGATCCCCCCACACTGAGCCCCTCCACACTTGGCTCCTGCCTGGTTGAGCTTGCCTGCCCCACACCTGGTGCACCTGGCACAGAAGAACAGGGCCCCCGGGCGTTTCTGGGGCAGGCCCAGGTGGTGTGCTGTGTCAGGGACGGGTGCAGCCTCACCGCTGAGTTTGTGTCCTAGGGATGGGGGCAGAGAGCTGCTGGGTGATCTCCCACCTTCATGCAGCCAGTGGTCTGTGCGCCCCACTGCCATGCTGGAGCCTCTGCATTTATTAACAAATAAAACGTTCAGATTTTTAAAATATTGCATGCAGAATTTTGAATGTTTTGGCGCAGAATGCCCTCAGGAGTAAAATTGACACACTCTGTTACAAAGAGTGGTTCACGTTAATTTTGTGCATGGTTAGAAGAGATTATTGAAATTGTTCCAATCACTGAGGAGTTACTTTAGTCCCAGATGTTTTCTGAATCTGTAAGAAGTTACTTTCTGAAGTTTGGCAATACCTGTATACGCCATTTACCTGCCTGGAGGGCATGGAATGTTGAGGATTCTAACTTTCCCGGAAGAGGTGCAGTTCTGGCCCCTCCTCCTTCCTAAATACATAAGGGCATGTTCCCCATGACCTACCTACTGTAACACTTCCAATGCATGTCCATTTGAAGGAGTATTTTACTCCGAGATGAAGGTCACCAGCAAATCCAGTAGCAAGCATGCACATAATACTTCTACCAAGAAAAGGAGCTGAACTTGCCATAATTGGTGTTGTCCTAGTCATGAAGAGTTAACCTTATTTTGCACTTAAGAGATCTAGGAACCACAATAGAGCAGTCAGCTCCCTTCAGAACACAGTTCAAGGCACTTGTTTCATATCTATCCTAGCCAAAAACCTCCAGTTTCATGCCAAGTCTTCACAGTCCTTGGAAAGAGCACACACAAAAGGGTAGGCCAGAATAAAAATCACCAGTGCTGCATTAGCATGCTCCTGGAATTTCTTCTGCAAGGATCTCAACATTTGTTTAAAACAAAACAGACCGTTACTACTCCGTACCACAGTGGTGGTCATTCCATAGCCCGCGATAGGTTGAGGAGGAAGCTGTGTCTCCACAACAAGCCAGGACTGCAATTCCCCTTCCCGTGTACATATACTCGCGATAGCTCAATGAAAGCTAGTGCAAATATAAGTGATAGTACACCTGCAGGAGCCTGGGCAGCAGCAACAGAGGAACAACGGAGTGGTGCTAAGTGTGCACCCACCTGTTTCAGATGGGATTGTACTCAGCATGTCTCATCCATGCCTCTGCTGCCCTAATGACAGTGGCTATACTACTATTTGCTCACACTAGTTCTCACTGAGCTAGTGAAACTATGTGCACACGAGCAGGGCAATCCCCCTCCTAGCTCGGAGATGTAGATCATTTGAAGATACATGGTGAAACTGGAAAGATCTTATTCTATATCACTTAGCAGTCCCTTGGCAGACACCTCAGACAACCCCAGCAGAGGCTTTGGAACAGCCTGAATTTGTTCACTTTTCCTTCCTAAGTGTGAGCTTTTGAAATGCTTCTGGGTTGGCCTTAGCCACCACCTGCCACCATTTTTCTCTCTGCAGAGATTCAGAGTGTTACAAAGACAGACCCGCAGAAAATCCTGTCTGCTTAGTGCACCCATGGCAAAGTTCATAGGACTGAGGCAAGCAGGGGAAAATTCTCTCAGAAAGATAAGATGGGCGCCAAGAAGAAACTGTTTTCCTAGCCTAGTCTCATGTTTACATGCTGCTTCCACAAGGCTGCCACCACTCCCCAAGCCTGTAAAGGGTAGCTTTCTTCCCTTACTCCTCAAACTTAGAATGCAGTGGCTTTTGTATCCCCAACTTCCAAAGGTCTCTGTGTTGAAGATCTAGCCCCCCCAACCACCATTTCCAGAAACAACTGGTTTTAAACTCTCCTCCATATCAACCTCAAAAAGGCACCCAAGAACCACTCGCAAGCTCTTCTACTGGCAGATTTACTTTTAAAATACCTTCATTGTGAGTTCTGAGGACACAGGCAATATTATCACTAGCAATGGAGGAACCTACAGAAATTGAGTTGAGCACCCAAGATTCTGAATGCTAACCATGTGTCTTGTACTGCAAAATTGGTCGCTCAAGAAACTAGACTTAACTGATTTTAGTTCACTGGCCATTCTGAGAAGTTAAAAAAAAAATAATTTGGGATGAGATGAAACATTTTTTAGGAAACAAAATTTAATCAGTTTAAATAATTGGAAAGTCGTTTGAATAAAAAAAATTGAAACTCAATTTAATAGCGTCAAAATGAAGTGTTCTGATTTTTTCAAAAGTTGAGGGCTTCCCACGCCCCAACCAAGACAATTTGGTAAATTCAACACAAGTTTGCTAAATGTTTTCACCAACCTGAATCTGCATTTTTTGGCAAAAAAAAGGTTTTGGCTGAAAAGTAACATCCAGCTTTAGCAGGCACTTCCAACAGCAGAGCTCACCTGGGTTTCAGGTCCCAGAGGAAGTATCTTAGTAATAATTCTGGAAGCTATTTCACATCAAAATGCAAACCTCTCAGAAAGGGATTCTGCCTGCAAACTCTAGAATATGTGGAAGCCAGAGCAATAGATCTGCAGCACTTTCATCAAAAAGGCAAGACAATATGCATTTCCACACAAACCTTGGGGTACAGGGGGATCTTGTTCAGCCCGTTGCCAGGAGCCTCCCTGAAAACATCACAAGACACAAAACAGTCACAGGAGGGAAGTGTCTCCTCAAACCTTTCCCCCCTCCACTGCACAAAACACCCATTTAAAAAACTCACTGGAGCGTTGAAGTCAGAGTCCTGAACACTGCTAACAAAGTCTCTGCCCCTTGACTGCAGCAAAAACTCACACCTGTGGAGAAAAAGGCAAATACCCAGTGAAGGACAGCAGACCTTGTCTGAAATTCAACATCATGAGGGTGGTACTAAACTTCCTAATGAAACAGGGTGTAGCAACATCTTTATGTACAAAGCGCAAATGTCATTCTTGCCACAGTGGACAGGCCCTTCCTGCTGTAAAAAAATCTTCCTGGTCAAGCAGAAAGACTGGTGGTTTGAGGCTCCTGATCTCCCCAGAACAGGTCAGACTTCATTTTAGGGCTGTGAGATTGGCTTTTGCAATTGAGCCTTTCAGACAGACTGGATCACGGGGAAAACGGGTTTGTGGCCTCACCTGTAAGAGCCACCACACCCGGACTAGGTGTATGACATCCTGCCATTTACACATGAAGGCCAATACAAGTGGAATAGAAGGGCTGCTCTGATGCCAGTAAGAGACAAGGGCAGTGTTAAAGTTACCATGAAGCAGTGGTAATAGAGATTGACCCACAGATCACTGTCCATAAACTCTATAGACGTTGGGGTCTGAACTCCACAGCTCAGGCGGAGTTCTAGTGTGTGATTTTGATTGAAAAGCATTAGACTTGTAGACGCATGTCTTGTAGATGCATGTCATGTAGATTTGTACAATGCCTAACCCAACAGCTCTCCACTTGGTTATGGCCTTGAGGGGCTACAATGATAGACGTGTACAATGATTATCATCACCACCACCTGAATGAGGGAGAGAAAAGATTGCAAACAGTAACAATGCAGCTTATTAGGATGGGAGCTTCCGGGGTAGTTCTCAGGAACTACCAAGAGACTGACCTCACTAAAATTCCTGCTTTGACCACAAGCTGTTCCAGGATATATAGCTTTTATGATGCAAATTGGACATAAGCCACCAGATTCATTTCACGTAGGCTTATCAGCTAGCAGCACTATTTGTTCACTATTGAGCTGGTTGGATTTGAACTGATAACAGAGATAGATGGCTCTACATACTAATAATCCAGTTAAATCTCACCTGGGGCATGAGGTTTGACTGTGGAGCAAGGTCCATTCAGTATAAAGCTGACTAATGTGTAGTTCAGCCCCAACAAGCATTAGTATACCATGAATTACCTTGGAAACCATTTGGCATGTTCCCTCCAGGGGTCATCTCCAAGCTCCCAGTTCCTCAAGCTGCCATCACAGTAAAAACACCTCACAGTGTCACCTTGACCTGAAAGGAGCATTAAGAGAAGATCGGATGTCAGGTACATGAGCAGCTAGTTACACTAACCCACAGGCAATTTGATGTTGCTACCAGGAGAGCTGGGGGAGGTACAGTATGTTTAATTGTTACCATAACAGGCTACCAGACCAAACTGTTGAGCACACATCACAACTGTCCCAGGACTCTGGCTCACTACTTCTGCAGCTTGCCCCTGTTCAGAGACAGGGAGTCAAGTCAGAGCACTGGTTCAAAATTTGAGTTCTAGCTGGCTTGCCTAAGTTGCACCAATCAATTATTGGGATTCCAGTGTTGGGTCAATGAACATTTTGGGTGGAAACTTCATGGATTCTCTGTACATCCCCTTTGTGGGCGCACGTCCACTCCCACTGCACACAGCTACCCCCTCCTGTTTCTTCATCCAGCAAACTGCTCCCCCATGAAGGCTGCCAACTAGGGGTCCATGAAATTGGTTTATACCACTCCCCCTAATAATAGGAGTCCTCGCTATAAAGATCCCAAGCCATCCAGCCCAGGGAGGAAACTGGGCAAGAGATTCAGTTGCTTTAACAATATCAGCATGCCTGCTACAGGGCATGATTTTGAATAAAGCAATATATAAAGTTACCCCTTCCCACTCAGCGAGTTATATTTGGATCCCACTAAAAAGAGAATTTCTGGGAATGGATAGGCCTTCCAGTCATAAGCTGGACCCCTTAAGGAGTTTCAATACAGCTGTTCCAAAACACTGGGCATTCAGAAGTCCTTGAATGCTCTAAAACAAGGGACCTATGTGGATCAGATAACTGGCAATGCTCTGGAATTGCCCAGTTTAAGTGACCTCTGGGTTTGCCATGTTGTTGGATTGTTTCCCGATGGATCCCCATTCTCAGTATTATGTTTTCAACAGCTGGTCTGCAGGTAGAAAATAAATTCCAAAGCAAATCTGACAAAGGGTTCCAACTACAACCTCTGCCTTCTGGTTTATTCTGTTTTCCTGAGCTGGCTGTTCTTTTGTCAGTAGTGTTTGGCTCTAGAGCATACATAATTATAATTCCAGAAAAGCTATGAGCTAGTACACAGTGGAGATTTCACATCTGGTTGCTCAGATCAGGACTTGTAATAAGAGGTACCTCCTCACACCATTTCTTGTGAAGTACACTGCAAAGCCTTCTCAAGGAACTCAATGAGAGTCATTTAGGCTACGTTAGTATTCATGTGCATTTAATATATAGTAAACAAATACTGGGCACGTAGTTAGACTATAGAAGGGAATAACGTGTCTAGTGCTACATTAAGAATTTTAGTTCCACAGAGGGATTCTATCAATGCGATAAACCAGAACAGCAGCTCACTGGGTCAACCCCTACAGAACTATAGGTGAAATACAGGTTGTGGAAGGCATGGAGGTACAAATGCAGTGCTTGCATGTGTAGAGAGATTAGATAAACTGTCACAGAACAAACCAAGGAATTTTAGACACCGTCTCCGTAAGCACGTGGGGCTATAGTTCGTGGATGTTGGGGGGGGGGGGGGGGCTCACACACTTCAGCCAGAAAAACCCGAGTCCTTACACTGGTGATGCCCCGTGAGTAGGAGTTTTCAGACCAAGACAAGAATAGCGTTCAAAGACAATGAAGATTTAAAATTTTAGCGTTAGAGTTAAAAATTGAGCAGTTTTCAAAGTGATTCCTCAGATGAAAAGCCCCAAACTCAAATTTCCATTCATGACTCAGAATTACAGGTAGTTAGAGAGCTAGACAGAGCCTAAGAGAGACTTCTCTATCCAAGAGCATGAAACTAGCTGGGATCCATGGAGCACAAAACAACTTCTGAACAGGGCCGGCTTTAGGAAGTGCGGAGCCCGATTCGAACAGTTTCGACGGGGCCCCGACAGGGATGACTAAAAAAAAAAAACCACGTAAAAAAAAAAACACGTGGGGCTTGTACTCACCGGGCCGCGCTCCTAGTCTTTGGCGGTGGGTCCTTCACTCGCTCCGGGTCTTCGGTGGCACTGAAGGACCCGCCGCCAAAGTGCCACCAAAGACCCGGAACGCCGCTGGGGGAGTAAAAATTAAAAAGGCGCCTCTAGCCAAGGAAGGGATTCTCTGCCACTTGCCCCCCACTCTGGGTGGCCCTGCCACTGGGCGCGGGGCCCTCTTAGGCGCAGGGCCCGATTCGGGGGAATTGGTGGAATTGGCCTAAAGCCGGCCCTGCTTCTGAAGAGGGGACACCTACAGACAGATGAGTCTTCCTTTTTAAGGAATAAATATAAAAACTCCACGCTGTCCCCTCCATAACACATTCTACTTCGCTTCTACTTGAACTGTTTGAAGGTCATAACTCACGTTAGACTTCACATTTAGCCAAGTCCTCAGATACGAAAGAGTGTGGTACAAATGAGGCACATAGCAAGTCAACAGTTATGTCCCCTCATTGCTGTTACCATTATCCTCATTTGTCTGTCACACTCCTTGTTGCGCTTAGTCTTAAACTTAAAATAAGCTCCTCAGAGCAGAGACTTTCCACTATAGGTTTGTGCCAAACCTGACCCAACAGTGGGGAAGTGAGAGGTCTTTTTGATCTGTGTTTACACAGCACAATGGGGTCATAGGTCCATGCCCAGCGCTCCTACGCAGTACCACATTACCAAGAAGAGGAGACTCCCAATCCCAACTGAGACTGCTACATTAAAAATAAGTGTAAATGCAATTGGAAAGCCCCAAAGCCAAGTTACCAAACGATGGAGTTTGACCTCACAGGGCACTGTCGTAAGAAAGGGGTGTGCTCTAACTAGGTTCCCCACGGTGGTGGCATTTGCAGCCTAGGCCTTAACTCTGTCCCAGTGCTGAGAGAATGTTGTGCAGGGGATAAGCTGTGTCTGAATCTCATGTCTCTGCTGTTCAGGAGGGTCCAGTTAAGGAGAATTCTGTGGCCCCTCACACCTAGAAGAGGAGAGTCAAGTTGTGGCTCTACTGGAGAGGGCTTCATGATATGGCTGGCACCAACCCGCCCTGCTTATGTACCACAGTATATGGGTGCAGTATTAAAAAAAAACAACCCTAAATAGAGCTTGTCTAACAGGACACATCATGCAGCTCCACAGTTGCACACAGAGGGAGGCTTTCCCTACCCTAGGTACCTGTATATAGCCTTGGCAGAATTAAATGTTTTTATATAATTTTGATAGCTAATAAGCTTTATTTTTTTAAATTAAAATTCTAGGTTTTCAAACTGTGGGGTGTGCCCCCCCAGGAGGGCAGAGGAACATTCAGGGGCGGGGGAGACAAATGGTGCCACTAGCCCCACATGGCAGGGGTCAGGGAGGGCGCACCACCTCCACGCCCTGACTCACCTCCTCGGGCCACCTAGCCTGTGGATCAGTGTCAACATGCACCATGGCCCCGTGCTGATTTCTGCTCCCGGCAGCCTCCACATCCAGCGCTGGCTCCACCCCCAGAGACCGTTACACACACCTTCCCCCACCCTGTAAACCTGAGGGGGCGGGGGACGGACCAAAAATTGTAACTTGAAGGAGGGGCTCAGCTCAAAAAGTTGAAAACCGCTGATTTAATTTTTCACTGAGAGGGATATCTTGGGGGGGGGTGGGGGGGGAAGGTTGTCAGAATTATTTAAACAGTAGATGTTGAGATTCAAAAACGTTAAAGCTTTATAACTATTAAAAGGCAAGTTGTCAACGTCACGTGTCAAAATACAGAGTAAAATATCCTTAAAATCAAACTCTAATAAGTCTCAAGCAACTATTTGCCTCTCTGTAAATTATCATCATCAATGGAAATATTTGTCAATTTCACTGCACGTGCACAAACTGATGTGTATCGACATTACTGATAAAGCTCTAGTCCTGCCATGCCTACCTGTATAGAAGAACCCTGCTCTGGCCAGTTGCTCAGGATACAGCTCTGTGTACGGTGGCCAGCTCTGGAAAGTGGCTAGTCGCATCGCCTCGGTTTCCATCTCCGGGTATTCTGGTTGACTGGGTAGGGCTGCCTCTTCCACATCCATCCTCTGTAGAAGGCTGAGGATCTGCCCATCCACATAGTCCAAGATCTCCAGAAAGGGGAGCATCTGCTGGTTGCCAACATCTTCACCACAGATAAACTTACAGGTAGGAAAAAATTTTTGGTGCTCTCGCATGGGTTGATCCTCAGCCTCCCAGCTCCTCAAGATACCGCCACAGCAGAAGCACTGCACTCGGTCGCCCGGACCCAGGAAGAAAAAGCCAGCCTTAGCCAGGTCTGTGGCAGAGACAGGTGAGCTCTCTGGCCACTGCCGGAAAGTCCTCAGTCTCTTCTCCTCGCTCCGCATGCTGGTCTTAGACAGCCGAAAATGCCTTTGCCCAGACCTGATCTCCTCTGGGGGAAAGCTGTCCTCCATGTCCCAGCACTGAGAGAGGGAAAAAAATATATAGAAGACAATCCCTCAGTGGCCAGCTGTATTCCCCATGTCAGGCAGCACTCAGACTGCCAGTCTGCATTCACATCCCCACAGCTCATCCTGCTACATGTTCTAGAAAGCTCGTGGTCTCAACAAAGCCAAGCATGTTCCTGAATTGCAGCCAAACCAGAGATCCAGATTGTCTATGCCCCGCTGCTGCTTTTTCCTACCCCTTTACATCTGTCCCCACTAGTGTCTGGAGGGAAGAGACCAGCAGTTTTTCTCTTCCAGTCTCTCAAGTCACAGGGAAGCTGAAGTGGTTTGCAAGAAAAGCAAAAACAAGGCAAGGCCTATTCAATGTACTTGGACAAAGTCACTCCAGCTTTCAGTCTCTGATCTGAGCAGTGAATACTCAGTCACCTCTCTAGCCTTTAACAGAAATATAAAAAGGATTTCAATTCCTCGGTTTGCTTTTCTAGAGAGACGTGTTCAACAAGCCAGAAGCCTACACAGAATAGCTAAGATCCAAGCAAATGTTTCCTCATATTATCCCTTTTATAACCAAACAAGTTACACAGGTCGCATATTCCATTAGCAGGCTTCTCTTCTCCTGATGTGTATACATTTAGTATTTGTTAGTATGGCAGGCTGTGGCCTGAAGCGGAGTCAGCAGTTTGTGACTGATCATTCCTACCCATCCCATTTCACAGTACACCCCACCACTGCAGCAGAACCACTACAGAAGTGGCCTAAAATGTTGAGGCCTACTTTCCTATATTGGTTTCCTGACGTCACAGTTAATGGTGGTAGTGGTTTGCTGCCTTCACTAGTCCTATATCAAAGGAAGGCTGAAATTAAAGAAAATATATTACTTGATTATCCAAGCCTCCCCCCCTACTCAAACTGAAGTAATATTCCCCAGATATCTGTAAGCAGCTCTGCAGGGCTACCACCACTTCTGTATTGCCAGCAAAAGTAGACGCAAAAAGGCTCTGGGCCTAAATCTTCTCTCGCTCACACAGGAGCTATTATTTAACAAGAGTCAGAGCATTCTAAAGACATTTACTATCAAGATGTGGCCAACTATCACCTTGCCCACTTTACTGCACGGTGCACCCCTTTCCCTTACCCTTTGGGAGCCTGAGGGGAATTGTACAGCACCGAACACAGTGGTTCTCAAACTTTTGTACTGGTTCACATAGCAAGCCTCTGAGTGTGACCCCCCCCCTTATAAATTAAAAACACTTTTTAATATATTTAACACCATTATAAATGCTGGAGACAAAGCAGGGTTTGGGGTGGAGGCTGACCGCTCACGAACCCCCCCATGTAATAACCTCATGACCCCCTGAGAGGTCCCAACCCCCAGTTTGAGAACCCCTGACCTCGCACATTGTAGGCCCATTCTTTACTGTTAGTACCTTGTTCACAGAGAGGCCAATGACAGAGGTGATATGGAGTCCTAGCCACCCTAGTAAAAGTCCCTCCAGAAGAGGGTGGCAGTACATTGGTAGGTGTGTGTGTAGAAGCTTACTCTGGCATTGCCTATGAGATACATGTCCCACGAGTGATAGTCTGAAATCACCATTAGTAGGAGTCCAGTATTTCATGGGCACTCACTATTCACTGACAGACAGCCCCAGCTGCTCAATGGAGCCTGCTCACCCGCACCTCTCCCCCACAGAAAGCAAGGCAGGAAAAAAAAAAAAAAAAACATTATTAGCAGGACAGCTGGAATTTCCTTCCATAGCCAGAGCTGGACAAACCTAAGTGGAGGAGAGAAAGGCCCTGAATGCCCATGCTAAAAAGAAAGGGGGGTTGTGCTTAATACACTGAAGTAATTGTTTGAGAACTGGTGTAAAAGAAATCCATGTAAAATTGCTAGAGTCCGTGAGACTTAGGGGATTTGCAGAGCAGTGAAGGTAACGGTACTTGGAGGCGGCTTTAACCTACATACCAGATTTGGCTCTCAGATCTCCGAAGAGCTTCTGAGCGACTTGCTTGTTTGGGGCAGTTCTGCAACTCCAGCACTATTTCAGTCCTGGGCTCTGCCAAAGCAAAAGTCAGAGTTAATGTCAAACTGTAGCAGGCATTGTTCTCTGCAGGGAGCCATCACCAGGGATTGTCACTTACTGAACCATACATTGGAACACGTTTCCCCAGTTGGGGCAGGGGTGGGGGGAGAAAGAGGAGGGTTACTTCATCCAACACTCAATAGCAGAGCTAGACTTCGTCTGTGAGGGGGGAGCACCAAACAGTTAGTATGCTGGAGTGGTTTTCTTGGGGGAGGTGGGGTTGAGTTGGTTTTAAACTAGGACAAGTAGGAGATACCATGCAGTTTATGCCCCCCAGTCATAAATCACAGCCACTCACCCCTTCCTCCTTCCCTCCCCCAAAGGAAGCCCCCATTTACTTGCTTATGTTGAAATAATCTATTGATCCTGCCAGGGACCCCTTTAGACAGGAGTTTTCATAGCAGCTGAATTCCCCAAGACCAGACTGAGATGGCAAGTCACAGAAGGGAAAGCCAGTATTTCCACCACCCAATGCACACTTTCCTGGGGCATCAGAAACATAGATTAAGCCCCCCGCATCATCTTCCTCAAAGTACTTACTCAACTCTGGGCCATTAAAAGCTAACGCTAGACACCCATTCATTAGCAGTTCCATTTCAAAGGGGGATCTAGCCAGAATCCAAATGCCTCCCTCCAATTCTACTCAGCAGACTATTGACCAAACAAAACCATAACTAACCAGCTACTAATCCACATCCTATGGAGCACTTCTAACATCCAAGACCCTCCTAGAAAAGCTAGTTTGTCTCCCCAACCCTATTTAAAGCTTCCAGGGCCTATTGCCTTGTGTTGTGACGGAGACAGGTCAGCTTTGTTTCTTTTTTTTCTAGCTCATTGTAGCTGCCCGTCTGGAGGGTGTGGTACACCTTGCAAGATCTGAGTGATTTCACCTGCTGGGGAAGTGCCTATTGCTGCTTTCCTCTGATTGGCTGGTCTAGCTTTCATCTCCATTCACTCTGCCTGTGAGGGAAAGGGCCCACGTGAACCTTCAGCCATGTCTCCTACTAGTCTTTCAGTAAGTACCTGTTCAGGCAGCCAGAGCAGACCTCACCCTCCATATTGCTGTTTGGGATACTCCCTATACATACCCACAGTTGTCATCCCTCCCTCCTCCCCGAAATCCCCCACTAAAAGTAGTAGCTAAACAGCAGGCTCAGAGATTCTCTGTGGAGAAGGATGTAGTGAGGGATGCTTAACTTTGTGTGCTGGAGGATTTCTTGGAGATTCACTCTTAGCCCCTGCAGCACCCTGGAGACCAATTAAGGGCTAGCAGATCTGCTACAGCTCTAGATCCCGTACGATATATTTCTGTATAAAAATTCAAAAAGCCACTGAAAAATTTAGAAAAGCACAAATAATTACCCAAATAATTATATAAATTGATTATTAGCAGCAAATATTTATATTGTGGTGGCACCCCAGGGTCCCCAGCCTGACCTGGGCCACGTTGTGCTGGGAGCTGTACCTACACCTTGATTATGGCCCTGATCCTGCAAACACTAAAGCACATGCTTCGATGGGACTACTTGTATATGTAAAGTTAGGTAAGGATTTGCAAGATGCAGGCCATAACCACTCTGTGCCTCCATCTGTAAAATGGGAATAATAACATTTTCCTTCATCATAGGAGGTGTTGTGAGGATAAATTCATTGGGACATAATAAGCCCCCTGTGGACTGCTCTGGGGCCCTAAAGTGGATGTAAATTACATTTACAGTCATTTTAAGGCCACTTCACGCTGCCAAAGAGACCGGCCCATTAATATCTGTGAGTAGCTCACATGCTTCAGTGATTGGGGTAGAACTTGTATTTCAGAACCATTTTGTCAGGAGATTCTGGACTGCTACCTGCTGGGTCAGTGTGCGAGATTTTGGAACGACAAACCTTGGTGGCAGTGTAACTCACTGCGCAGCTTCATACACTGTGTATGTGCAGTTCACTTTGTAGTGTTACTCCTTCTTTGGATTGCCATGATTCTGAAATTAATAGTTTCTCTTTCTTTTAATATCAGCTCATATTTTGCACTTTTCTGTAGCATCCTCATCTGTTGTGTGCCGTCTTCTCATTTTCAACAAAATGTATTGGAAAATAAACACATGCTGGGAGCCATAAAGGGAGGAGGACTTGCTCAAAGAGGTTTGAATTGTTTGCTTCAGCTATGTTTTTGCAGAAGAGAATGAACTTTAGTTTCCACAGCATCCCTGAAGTTTGAACACTCCCTCTATCTTTCTTTGTCCTGTGGTCATGCAATGATTTTAAGGTGGGTCTTGAATGGAACAGGGATTTGAAAACTTGTATCTCCCCTGCCACATTTTCCATTTGAGAAAACAGAATGTGCTACCACTCATCTTAAAGAAGAAATCTGTTGGATCATGCACTGCCCCTAATTAACCAAAATCCCCTTCTCCAAACAAGACTATAAAACAATTGTGTGTTTTTAAAATTAAAATGTCAGCATAACCATCTGAGGTGGTAACTTTGTCTTATTTTTTTAAAATGTGTTTTAATTAAAATCTTGAAGGTGAAACCTAAGACATGCTACAAACAGTAGAGGGCAGTGCTTATTTACAATATTGTTCTGAGAATGCTGTTGTGGATGGATGTGGTTTTTTTAAAAAAAATCCTTCCTGAGTACATACACAATTGCCCATTAGCTTCTGTTCCTCTGGTCCTATCCCTTACAAGTATATATGGATTTTGCAGAACATACATTAAAAACCTAAGACACCTGCAAAAGCCACTCAGACAAATTCCCAATTACAAGGGATATTTTGGTGAGTTATAGCAAGTTGCCTGTTAATAAATAATAATAGCGATGAATAATGTTTTGCTTTTATGAAGCATCTTTCAGTCAAG